GGAAATGTGAATTTGCAATGGGAAATTGCAATCATGTTACTGTTGATCTCGACATGTTGGGAAATGTGAATTTGTATGTGTTTTGCCTAAAATCATCAAAGAAATAATGGTACATGTAATGCTGCACCAAATGTAAAAACACATTATGGAATTCAATAGTTAAGGGTGGTAGTTTTAAAGGGCGTGGTCGTCACGCATGCAAGAGATATATAGGTCTCGTACAAACAAAGATGGTGACTTTGCTGTTGCTCAGATTAATGAGTACCAACAGAGATGTTACCAAGCTTAAATTAGGTATTTTTAGGTGATTGGAAGATATCGAAACAGTCACAGGCAGTAATTAGTGCAAGTCGCTCCTCAAACCTCATTCTTGTGATTTCCTTTGGAAGAGCGCATTGGATTGTGGGAAAATCAATGTTTATCAACACAACTGTCACACATGCGCGGCACGGCGACTACCACCCTTTAAAAATATGGTAACCGAGGAAATCATGCACTAATCTTGATGTACATGAAGTGTACTTGCCATTGTGGCAAACTGATTTGTGCTCAAGATGTTTATAACATGTGGTCTTGCACCCGAAAAAATGTAATTCTACAATTAAAATATTTTAACATACAACATATTTTTGATGTCTGTTCATTTAAATTGTTGATGTATTTATTAATGTTTACAATCGTTATATTTTCACTGTTACAGAATGATGCCACATCACCTACCTCAAATAGCAACGAGTTAATGCCAATCAGTTCAACAGACTCGTCAAGTCTCACCTCACCTCTAACTTCCAATCCCACAACGACAGACCAAAATTGGATAAAACTAGCAGAACTGATGACATCAGCAATAAGGGGCCAAGTAGAGTTTGCCAAGGCTGTGCCTGGTTACCGTAATTTATCTCAGGAAGACCAACTCATCCTCCTTAAAGGAAGTTTCTTTGAAATTTGGCTGCTTAGAATGGTAGCATTCTATCAGTCGGATAAAGCGATAGACTCTCTTGAAAACGGAAATGCTTCCGTTTGGAACCAGTTGACAGGAATGTTGGACCAGGAATTGAACGTTCCCTTATCACAGTTTGTAGATTCATTCAGTCAATTGCCAATGGTAGAAACGGAAACGGCATTGTTTGCTGGACTGGTACTCACAAGTAAAGGTAAATCTATAATTCCATCTTTGTCTTTCCAAAAATTAATAACTTGCATATAATTCCAAAATCACATTTGTTGTATATTAAATCATCAAAATATTACTGTAAAACATGTTGAAAAAACGACATGCAATTTTAGCGAATCTCTCTTGTCATTGATATCCTATTTTCACCTGCCAAAACAAATGTGCAATTATCACCCCCATGAAAACAAAGTAAAACTATTAAGTGTAACTAGGAAGCGCCCCAGATTATTACGTTCCGGATTACTGTATACAAATCTCCAAGCTTTGGTCATTTTGAATTTATAATGTCATTAGCAACATCTTGAATTAGCGAGTCAGTTTTCTCGCTAAAAAGACATGTTTTACAGTACTTATTTTGACCATAGAAACATTTATGTAAGCGCAAGTGTTGTTAGTAGAGGAAATTCTGTGTGTGCAGTTCACTTGAAGATACTGTATTTTTTCTAGTAGTAGCATAACTCTAAATATGTACAAAAATTGCAGGCAGGATCATTATAATATGATTTGCTATGACCATTATCACGTATGCACTCCTGATAGACCAAATATGGTACGTGTTTCTATACATTGTGCTGTTTTCAATGGATGAAATGGAGATTTTCTAGTCAGCAATGTAACATTTTCACAAGTTTTTTTTTGTGTGTTTGTGTTTTTTTTCAGATCGTTTAGGATTAGTGAACATCGCCACTGTGGAGCGAATGCAAGCAAAGTTTGCAGAAGCTTTGAAAGTCCAGCTAGAAGGAAATCATCCACAAGAAGCCAGTACACTGTTTAACATTCTTCTTAGCAAAGTGCAAGAGTTGCATGCATTAACTGGTAAACATAAAGAGTATGTTCAACGTAATCATTTGTTATGGCCATGTGCTCAACTACCAGCATTGTATGCAGAAATGATGGACTTGGCCATAAACAGTGAAGGTTAAAACATTCACAAATGAACTGATGTTATCTCTCATTTTTATGCTTACAACCCCCTACCTCAATGTGGCATAGTCTCATGAATGACACACTTTCAATGTGTTAAAGCCAAACCATTGTATGGAGAGGGGTGGTGAAGATGTATGGGTCCACAAAAACTAACCTCACCGGCGGTTAACTCACTGGCGTGTTGCATTGTGGTATTTTCACATGGACCTGACTCGCAAAACAATACTGCATTTTAGTTGACCCCCACTTCTTAAGTTTTTTTTTTTTTTTGCTTGCCATACTTACTCTTGTATGCATGTTGATTTTGGTTTTTATTTAATATGGAATAATTATCAAAGATACTTTCAAAATTGGAAGTACATCATGTCATGAACCATTTTAAAAAAATATATATATATAAATATTAGGGTGTGTCTGTTTTGTATTATACCCATATGCATTGTGGGATTGAAATGTATTATGGGATATAACCTAGAAAGCTGCCATGACCCTGCAGCATTTAATAAAAGTGCCTTTCAGTCCTGATTAAAACCTAGAGATATACAACTGCCATAATGCTCTGTTACTGGCAGTTGTACACTGCCACCACCAACACCTACCCACACTCACCCATGTTCAAATAATGTCATCATATGCTAACTTGCTCATCTCCTGTACTTTGCATATATGTACAAGGTTGATTTGTGTCAGCTGTCACCTTTGAATCCTTGACTATTGCAACATGTGTGTCCAGGAACTGGAAACAATTAGCAGATTTGAAACACTAGACTAGTTTTGAGGTCTCTAATTGCTTATTGAAATAAGCTTTGTGTCATGTTAGGAGGTGATTTCATGGCCAGTTGTCATGTTTGTTAATGCCATGTTTGTTTTCAGTTACCCTGACTGTTACCCATCTAAAATGTCCAGGAATGTACACGTACTAAGATGACAAATAATTGTCAATGTCCATGATTGAAAAATTTCAGTTCTTGTATTTAAAGCCATTTCAAACCTGGATACCAAACAAAACTTGTTCAATACAGAACAAAAAATTGTGTAATAAAATCTTGGCATATGAAATCAACTATTTCGTGTACCCACAAGGTAGCCTTGTATCAATATAACTCTAAACAATATATTGAATAAAAACAGTACTCCTTAATATAATCAGTACTAGATAATGTGCTGAGCAAATTTGGTCTAGTTTACATGCATATTACACTTATTGCGATTTTGATTTATTTAAGAACGTAAAAATCACTGACGATAGTTTATACAGAGTTTGATCAGCTTGTTAGGCCACCCTAAGTTGTGCATGATGTACTTAGTGATATTATTACGCATCCCATGCAAATGCATGTCATTCAATTCATAAACTCTCTGATACCTCGAGTTGTATCATAACATTTAATAATTTTCAGGTTTAATTAAAGAATTCAGGTGCATGCAACACTAAAGTGTATAATCAATATTTCACCACATAATTTGTGGTTTCATTCGTTTGACAGTCAGTTTTGTCTCTATTACGCTCAAGTAATATGGTAAACTAACTAGCCTAAGGATGACTAAGTATATTCTGAAAGCTGAAAATAGTATAAATTGTTGCAAAATTGATGAATTATTGCATTTGCAAAGAAATAATTTTGCATATTACTAGAAATTTGTGTTTTCACGGACTCGTGAAAATTTGTTTTAAATTTGTACTGAATATAATCATGAATCATGACAAGTAATTGAGATTCTGTTGAGTAAATAAGATATATGATTGGTCAAAAATGAGGTAATTAAGTGTTGATGATTATAATCCTTTGAAAGTCAAAGTAAATCTTTCACAAAATTAATATTTTTCCAGATTTTTTCAAAATTTGATCAAGGGCCAAAGAAGAATTATGTCCATTTGTTCCAAAGTTAACAAAACAATTACAGAATAATATATAAAAATGTGCAAAGATGCACCAACATTTTGTAGGGAAAAACACATGGCATTCAAAGGGTTTAATCTGTTTGTCATTTTAGATATGATGTACCACACTGAAGTACATTTCATAAATTCAGCCCACCACTGTACAATTGATGTGATAATTATATTTAATAATATTGCTGTGTTTTCAAATCCTAATCTGCTGCAAAATATCATGTATCAATCTTTTTTCTTTATGAAAAGTTTACCAATATTTGTGTACATTAATTTGTTTTTACTGATGTTTTCTCTGCCATAGCCAACCCAAAACCCATTCAGGATATACAAAGGATTATGGGTAATTTCCAGCCAGTTTTTTTTGGGGGGGGGGCAATGGGAACAAAGTTCTTTGTGAAGTATTTTAATGTACTTGCCCCACTATCTCTCTTTCACATTGGTGCTTATTCAGACATGACCACAATAAAACAGTTTTGAACAATGTGTAAATTGAAGTGCTGTGTCACTTGTAACAGTTTAAAAGTACAGTTTATAAATTTATCAGGGACTACCGTAGTCAGTTGCAAATGTATTTTTATAAATCCCAGTACTGAAGTTGATAATAACATTCAAATTTAATTGAAAACAATATTTTTACTTGAAATGCAATAAAAAAAAAAACTACTTGGGTATCAGTGTACTTTAAATATATATTAAATATCACAGATTTTCAGCGCAGAATTACAAAAAAACTTAGGCATAATGTGTTCATGACAAACAATTTTTTTCAAACTAGAAAGCAATCAGACAAAAATACATGTGTAGGTAACAGAAACACGTCTCGTCCATCATATTTTTGTTTTTTATGCATTTATTTGGCTACTTTTTTAAATACTGAGGTGTCTGACTTGGAAGATGTAACTGGCAATCTTGTTTGTTGCTGTGTTGAGGCTAAAATTGGACTTCTCACTTGTAAAACTTCTGAATTGCCTTGATCACCACTTTCTGAAATAGTTGGCGTTTATTTGAGGTTTAGGGAACAGTCATTCAAAACATTCTAACGCGAGAGAATTTCACAAAAATTCATAATCTCTTTCTAAAATGACTCCATTCCTTGGTTAGACAAAACTGACGCTTAGTCTTGATATTTTTCAAAACAGTTGATACTTGTAATTTTCATGCTCGTATGTTTAGTTATTGTAAATTTATCTTTGTTGTACTTGACTCATTTTGACTGCTGTTGACAGTAAATATTTGTTCTCATTGAAAATCAAATGTAAGAATTTAGAAATAATGCTTCAAATTAATAAAACTGAAACAGTTACATTTGACATCTTCTGATTATGACATATTTGATAAAAATCGTATATTAAATATGCTACATCTCACTGTAACGTCTTATGTCTTCCCTAACCTTTCTGAATGCCTTCTACAAAATTTGGGTACAACATTTTGCACACTTCTATTTTTTTTTTTTTTAAATTCTGTTGGATCAAAATTTGGGTACAACATTTTGCACACTTCTATTTTTTTTTTTTTAAATTCTGTTGGATCAAAAAACAATTTCCAATTAATTATACATCAGTAATGAACAATTTATGTGGCTTTATTTTGTGGAAGGTGACAAAAGTTGACGTTAAACAGTTAAAATGTTACCGAATTCAAACATAAAGTTTTAGGGACAGGCAATTCAAAACACCAGTTGATGTGGTTCAGTTGTCGTGGTTCAGTTGTCATGGCATTGCATAATATATATGATGATTTCTTCATTAAGACCATAAAAAGTTGTGCACGTGTTTTACTCAATTCTATTCAGTTTTTTTGTACAGTCAAATTTTCTTTGTGAATGTAAAATTTGTTCTATTGTAACCTACCGAAAATGTGTTACTTTGTTTGTAAAAACAATAGATTAAAACAGTTCATAATGACCACCAGAGGATGCTATTTGATGAAACATTGGCTTACTTGTATATTTTTTTTATTATCTTTCATATATTACTCAGGGATTTTAAAAAATAGTTAACCCTCGCCAATTTGTCAAGCAACATAACCTTCTTTTCTTCCGTAATAATCAATTGAATAGCAATATTACTCCTTTTCTGATCTACCGGTTGATTATTTATCTCCTTCAGTACACATGTAAATAGATTTTCAATATTTGTCATAGATATTTTTTTTATTTTATTATTAATTTGCATGAATAGAAATATTCGCTGTAGTGCGTGATATTGCTGATTCATGTTATAGAACTTAGACGTTAAATGTAGAAAATAAATGTATCTTTTGAATGCAAAATCAAGTATATCACTTT